GGGGAGGGTCAGAGGGAGAAGCAGGCACCCTGCCGAGCAGGGAGCCGGATGCAGGACTCGATCCAGGGACTCCAGGATCATGACCTGAGCCGAAGGCAGCCGCTTAACCAACTGAGCCACCCAGGCGCCCTTAAAAAAGATTTTTTAACTGCTCATTTTTTCTTTAATCTATGTGTACATTAATGCTTTTATTATGTAAAAATATAGCTGGATTTTGTTGTAGCTATTGTTTTATTCCTATTTAATTTTCTGTCTTTTTTTTTTTTTTTTAGATTTTATTTCTTTATTTGCTAGAGAGAGCATAGGCGAGAGAGAGTGAGTGAGAGTACAAGCAGGGGGAGCTACAGGCAGAGGGAGAAGCAGGCTCCCTGCTGAGCAAGGAGCCCGATGTGGGACTCGATTCCAGGACTCTGGGATCAGGACCTGAGCTGAAGGCAGCCATTTAACCAACTGAGCCACCCAGGCATCCCAATTTTCTCAGTCTTAAAATAGCCAAAAAAAAAAGAGCTTCACATTATCTGTGATTTTTGGCTGTAGTTATACTTTTGTAAATAATTTTGAAGAATTAATCCAAAGCAGAGATAGAGCTTTAAGTGTAAAGATGTTAACTGAAATGCTGTGTGTGAGTGTGGGAAATAGAATGGAAACAAATTTAATGTATGTCTAAGAAGAGAGGAAATAGTAGTAGGTTTGTAATGAAATGGAAAACCAGGCAGTCCTGTAAAATGATGTTTATTCAGAAAATTTGTAATAACAGGGGTAAATAATTTTATAATACATACACAGTACTAACATACAACATAATCTCAACTATGTAAAAAAAAAATAAATTTGGGATAAAGGCTGAAAAGAAATACATATAGAAGTTTAAGAGGTTGCCTTCGTGGTTTGTGGTTATGAGTAATTTATTTTTTCTTGTATTTTTTCTACTTTATGTATTTTGTATTTCAAGGATTTATTTATATCCTCCCTGTTACAGGAAGGATTTTAGGCAGTTTATACAAATTCATAAAATGACAAAATGGCATGGATGGACAAGATGATAAACTGGACAAAAGATTGTGGAAAAGGAATTGGGGACAAAATGAAGTATATAATATAATTAACTATGCTCCTACAGTAAGCCATATACTTAAATATTTCAACCTAAGTTTTCTTGTTCTAAGGGGAAACTTCTTGATTCTGATGTCTGGAAAAAAACCCTATGAAAAATTACGATTTCTTGGTAGTAAGGGCAGATAAGAATGTCTCTTCAGGAATACAGGATAATGAAGGAAAGCATTTCTTTATTGTTATTATGGGAAATGCCTTCCCAAATATGTGAAATTCTCAGGAAAAGTAATTTTGCCACATAAAAATAAAAACCGTAAAGAAAGTCAGAAGGCTGGGGCACCTGGCTGGCTCAGTTAGTAGAGCATGTGACTCTTGATCTCAGGGTTGTGAGCTCGAGCCCCCTGTTGGGGGAAGAGATTACTTAGTAAGTAAAAATTAAAAAAAAAGTCAAAAGGCCAATCCGGAAAAAAAAAATTTACAGATATGCAATTAATAAAAAGCTAATAATATATGTAGAGCTCTTGTAAATTAACAATAAACAATATAAATTGATAAAAGCCCAATAGAAAAATGAGCATAGAGTACGGACCAGGAGATACAGGAGATACAGACATGGAGAACGAGGTTATTTGAATGAATACCTGTTGTCTCCATTGTGAAAGGGAAGACTTCACAGGTGAATTCTACCAAACATTTAAAGAGGAGTTAATACCTATTCTTCTCAAACTATTCCCAAAAATTGAAGAGGAAGAAAAACTTCCAAATTCATTCTATGAGATCAGCATTACCCCGATACCAAAATCAGATAAAGACAGTACAAAAAGAGAACTACAGGCCAATATCCCTGATGAACATAGATGCAAAAATCCTCAACAAAATATTAGCAAACCATATCCAACAATACATTAAAAAATTGTTCACCACGATCAAGTGGGATTTCTTCCTGGGTTGCAAGGGTTTAGTATTTGCAAAACATTGCATCAATGAGAGAGAAAGGGTAAACACCATATGATCATTTTAGTGGATGCAGAAAAATATTACGTAGGAATAGGGATAAAAAAAAAACCTTTAAAAATTACTTATTTTTTTTGTGAACATGCAAGCATTTTCCTTTTGTCCCTCTGCCACAATTCTCTGTGACAGTAATTTTTTCCTTAGTTGTTTTATTTGAGGATATCATCTTTAAAAAATGATTTTAGCTGAAATATTGATTGATGCTACAGGGTAACCCATATTTATATTTTGAGTTATAGCATTTTAGGGGGAGGGGTGGTTGTTAAATCTGGTCTCCTGGTAAGCGTTTGACAACCATCTCTTTTTAACAGAAGAAACCCTGATGTGCAGCATTTTGCCATAATATAAATACTCCCCTTGTGGTCCCAGTCTGTCAGTAGGATGTCATTGAATTGGGAGTTGGGCGGAAACTTTGCATCTGGCTCCCAAGTCCTGGTAGGAGCCAGCTCCAACCCACTGCTGCTTAAACACTCGGAACCTTATTTTAAGTCACTGTTCGATGTCAATCAAATAATTTTAAGATCTAGGAGTTCACTCATTTTGTAGTGTCTTGTTATTTCAGGGGCTAAAATGATGTATTTTCTGGACAAGTCAAGGCAAGAGAAAGCAATTGCTATTGCCACTAGATTGGATGAAACGATAAAAGATAAAAATGTAAAGGTAAGATTTTTCAGATTGGTTTCTACAAATTTATGGATACTGAGTGCTCTGACAAAACATGTGTCTTTACAACAAAATGCTTGAGTGGACCTTCAGAGTTAGGTGTGGATTTGGATCTCAGCTCTAGCAGTTACAATATTTGTCACACGCGTTAGGCAAATTTCCATTTCTTGGCTTGCTCTTCCTCATTTATAAGATAAGGATGAAAATACAGGCATACCTAGGAGATATTTTGGGTTCAACTCCAGACCACTGCTGATAAAGTGAATAGCACAACAAAGTGAGTCCAGTGAAGTTTTTGGTTTCCCAGTGCATATAAAAGTTATGTTTATACTATACTGTAGTCCGTTAAGTGTGCAATAGTGTTATGTCTGAAAAAACAATCTATATGCCTTAATTAAAAAAAAGTTTATTGCTAAAAAATGCTAACCATCATCTAAGGTTTCAGCGAGTTGTAATCACTGATGACAGATCATCATAACAAATATAATACTAGTGAATAAGTTTGAGATATTTGCAAGAATTGCCAAAATATGACACAGGGACACAAAGTGAGCAAATACTGTTGGGAAAATGGTGCCAACAGACTTGCTCGACACAGGGTCGCCATAAGTCTTCAATTTGTAAGACACAGTATCTGCAAAGCACCACGGAGCAAGGCATAGTAAGCCCTCAGTAAATGGGAACTAGTATGGTTAATAAAGGACTTTTTTTTTTTTAAAGAGACATTTTCATTTTAGTGATCAGTTTCGGAGAGTCACTTTTTCAAGTATTAGAATTTTACCATTTTTTTAAGGCTTTGTAGAATTGATTTCTAAAATGTTCCAGTTCTAAACTGAGGGTTGTTGGAGGGGAGGTGGGTGGGGGGATGGAGGATGGGGTTACTGGGTGATGGGCCTTGGGGAGGGCACATGATAGGATGAGCACTGGGTGGATTGTGTGCAGCTGATGAATCCCTGAGCTCTACCTATGAAACTAATGTTAATTAATGGAATTTAAATTTTAAAAAATAATAAAATGTTCCTGTTTTGAGGTGATTACTTACTGTGAGTAGCAAGAAGTTATTTTACACTGAGGCCTTGCCAGTGTTCTTTTGTTTAATTAACACATTGCATCTTTTGATTATTAAAGTGATTAGTAACCAACCTTTTTTCTTAAAAATTATTTTTATTCTTGCCTTTTTTGATAGACTTTATTAAAGGTTTCCGAGGCACTGCTTGATGGCAGCTTTGGGAACTGTAATTCCCAGTATGAAGAATACAGGGTGGCCTGTCATAACCTGCTTCCTTTCACTTCCGCTTTCCTGCCCGGTGTGAACGAAATGGACGGCCACAGTGTGGCACTCAGCCATACAGCTAACTGTGATGCCTTGGCAAATGAAATTTGAAATCCCATAGAAAGTTGACTCCTGTAAGACTCAGAGCTGAATTCAGATCAGGGTTTCCTTTTCAGGGTGTATTTTAATATAGGTATGAAATGGAATAATGGGATAGAATTTGTAAATGGAGTATTCGGTAAACTTACTTTATCCTTTATCTGACTCTGCCAATTTACGTAAACATCTGTTGAAAATTACCTGTTTATACTTGTACAGTTTTCTTAAATTTTCCGATTATCAGCATTGTGATGGATGCTGTCACTTCTGTATCATAAATATAATTTCTTATTAAGCTAAGTTGTATACAGCCCCACTGTATTATTTTCTTGAAACCCTGGTTTCAGAATCTGTGTTTTGATGTTACGGGTTTGTTGTATTATTATTTGCTTGCTTTTTAATTAAAGCACATCAGTTTTAAAGTGTAAACTGTATGTTAAAAACAAGATGAAACTTTTTTTTGGCAGACATAGAGGTTTATTTTAAAATTTATTTCAGTTTGCCCTTTTTTCCACCTTAATTTTTTCATGATTTACCATTTCCTTCTTAATATCCATGAAAATGATACTTTCTATTGAATAAGAGTACTCCAGTTTTATGTAGATGATTCAGAATGTGGGGATTGGTTTGCCTCCTAATCATGGAAATTCACTGGTAAATTTGTTGCATATCCCTAGATCATTCTTTTAAAGACCCATGGGTAAGAATTATGCTATCTTGATTAAATTGCTTCATGTGTTAACAAATAGTTTATATCTAAGTGGTGTGCTTCGAAGGGGAGCAGAATAGGGAAGAATACAAATTATAAGGAAACATTCTTACTCTTATAGCCATGCATTGACTATTAAATACGTTTTTGTATCAGCAAAATGAGAATTTAAACTATTTTTAGTTTAACTATTAAAGCATTGTTGAGCAATATTTTAGGGGGGGAGTATAGGTTTTCGTTTTATCTTGTACAGAAAACAATAATGGAATCATTCATTATATTTCTTTCAGAACTGTGTAAATATGTCTAATATTAATACGTCCCTTTAAGGCAAATATGAATTCAAAAAGGGAGATTTTATTTAGAGAAGCCATTCTAATTAAAATGGTTTTCCTTTGCCCTAAGCTATTTAGATTCATAATTGTTAAGAGAAAAAAAACTCACTGTAAAATAATGCCAACCTATATAATACTGTAATAAATTATTTTGTACACAGTTGCTTATTTGTGTTTGTGTTATTATTTCACATAAAATATTTTTGCAAAATGTTTTTTCTTTGAAAGACTAAAAACTTAATCATCATTTTTACAAGTTTATAAAAAAGAAAGTTGGTTATTAAAAAATACACACCTACCAATAAATTCTGGTGCCACAGCAGCTTGGCTTCTTTTGAGTGTTTTAATAATTTTCGAGCTTGGCAGTCTTTGTCACTAAGTGATCCTGGCAAACATGTAATTCATTATGTTACTTTCAGCAAGATGCCACTTGCGTAAATGATTCCCATTAATCGTAATGTGGAAATCATGCTGGCAGCGGCAGTCTGTTATTTATTTCTATTTTTTTCAGTGGCAGTCTTGTTACAGGGTGGATACACTTGAAATGGGAGGAATTGGGTTCACGATCTGGAAGGCAGGATAAAGGGTGAAATCCAGTAGTGTCTGAGTCAGTGTATGGAGGTTGTATCTGTTCTCCTCCCTACTCCCATCCCACTTTGAGTATAAACATCCTATAAATCTGGGATAAGGGCAGGGATCTTTTTAGTTAAGGGAGGCAGGGGTGTGTCATGTTCCCCCACCTCCTACCTCCACCCTGCCTCCAGCCTTGGCAGAGGCCCTTTACATTTCAGAAAGCTTAAAGGAGAGGCATCTGAGAACCAAGTACTTGGAGAAGTCTCTAGTCTCAAGAGAAAAGTGTGAAGTCCTTTGTCCTGGGTGATCCTGCCAAGATTATCATAACAGCTAGGAAAAGACACAAAGATTCAAAAACATTTTTTTTTTTTTTGCTCTTTTTCTAGTTTTCTCAGAAGCTTAGATTATTGCTTTAGATCTTTCTTCTCTAATACATGCATTTAGTGCTATAAATTTCACTCTAAGCACTGCTTTGCTCCATCCCACAAACTTCAATAAGTTGTATTTTCATTTATCTCAAAATACTTTTAAATTTCTCTTGAGACTTCCTTTTTGATGCATGTGTTATTTAGAAGTGTTTTGTTAATCTCCAAATATTTGGAGATTGCTCAACTATCTTTCTGTTATTGATTTCTAATTTAATTCCATTGTAGTCTGAGAGCATGTTTTGTGTGAATTCCATTCTTTTATATTTATTAAAGTGTGTTTTATGACCCAGAATGTTCTCTGTCTCGGTGAATATTCCATGTCAGCTTGAGAAGAACATGTATTCTGCTGTTGCTGGATGAAGTTATCTATAAATGTCACATCCAGTGGACTGATGATGCTGTTGGATTCAACTGTATCTTGATTTTCTGGCTGCTGTATCTGGCCATTACTGATGGAGGGGTGTTGAAGTCTCCCACTGTTACTGTGGATTTGTCTATTTCTCCTTGTAGTTCTAGCAGTTCTTGCTTTATGTATATTGATGCTCTGTTGTTAGGCACACACACAATTAAAGATTGTTATGTCTTCTTGGAGAATCACCCCTTTAACATTATGTGATGTTTCCTTTATCCCTGATAATTTTTCTTGTTGTGAAGTCTGTTTTGTCTGAAATTAATGTAGTTACTCCAGCTTTTTTGAAAAATTGATGTTAGCGTGGTATGTCTTTCTCCATCCCTTAACTTTTAATCTGTGTCTTTACATAAAGTAGATTACTTATACACAGCATATAATAAGGTCTTGTTTTTTAAAATCCATTCTGATTGTTTTTAATTGGTATGTTTAGACCATTCACATTTCAAGTGATTATTGATATAGTTGCATTAATATCTACCATATCTGTAACTTTCCATTGCCCTTGTTCTTTGTTTTAAGAATTTTCCAAAATTAATTACAGACAACAAGCCAACAGATCCAGGAAGCTCAGAGAATACCAACTCGGATAAATACCAAAAAACTATACCTAACCAAATTATATTCAAACTGCAGAAAATAAAAGACAAAGAGAAAATCTTATAAAAAGTCAGAGAAAAACAAACCCCACTTTATCTTTAAAACAGCATGGATAAAAATTACATCAGACATCCCTTTAGAAACCATGCAAGCAGAAGAGAATAGAGTGAAATATTAAAAGTGTTGAAAGAAAAAACCCACCAGGCAAGAATTGTGTATGCAATAAAATTATCCTTCAAAAGTGGCAGAGAAATAAAGACTTTCTCAGACGAACAAAAATTGAGGGAATTTGTCACCAGTAGACCTGTCTCATATGCAATGTTAAAAATTCTTCAGAGAAGGAAAATGATATAAGAGAGTTAGATTACGTATAGAGAAGAGTGTTAGAGATGGAATAAATGAAGGTAAAATACAGTGTCTTATTTTGAATAACTTATTATTTCTTAATCCTTAATCGATCTAACATAGTGGTTTCTCAGAATAATAAGAGCAACAGCGTATTGGATGATTACATCTTACGGATAAGTGGTACGAATGACCACAGTGTCATATGAGACAGGAGGGAGGAACTGGGAATACTTTCTTACAAGGTACCTGCACTACCCATGAAGTGGTATAGTGTTACTTGAAAGTTAGATTAGTTGTCCCAAAGAATCCAAAAACACTAATTCAAAGGGATACATGCATCCCTGTGTTTATAGCAGCATTATTTACATTAGCCAAGATATAGAAGCCGCCCAGGTGTCCAATGATTGATGAAGGGATGAAGAAGATGTGGTACACATACACAATGGAATATGACTCAGCCATCAAAAAAAATGAGATCTTGCCATTTGCAACAACGTAGATGGAGCTAGAGAGTATAATGCTAAGCAAAATAAGTCAGAGAAAGATAAATACCATATGATTTCGCTCATATGTGGAATTAGAGAAGCAAAAGGAAAAAAAGATCAAGAAACAGACTCTTCACTATAGAGAACAAACTGATGGTTACCAGAGGGGAGGCTGGTGGGGGGATGGGTGAAATAGGTGATGGGGATTAAGGAGGGCACTTGTGATGAGCACTGGGTGATGTATGGAAGTGTAGAATCACTATGTTGTACGCCTGAAACTAACGTAACAGTATGTTAACTAACTGGAATTAAAAACTGTAAAAAGAACGCTAAATTAGTTGTAAATGTATATTGCAAACACTAGGGCAACCACTTAAAAAATTGTAAAAGAAGTATAATTAATATGCTAAGAAAGGAGAGAAAATGAAACCATATAAACCACTCAGTTGAAACGAGAGAAGGCAGAAAAAGAGTAGATCAAAAACAAAACGACTCCCCCCAAAAAACCCAAACAAAAAACAAAACGGGCAATGAATTGAAAACAGTTTCTATCTATTCTCTGTCTCTCTGTCTGTCTGTCTCATCTAGTTTCTGTCTATCTGATCTGCAATGTCCAGTTTGGTAGGCCTAGCCACACGTGGCTACCAAGCGGTTGGCTGTGGCTAATGTGTCCGAGGAACTGGATTTTAAATTCTATTTAAATGTAAATAGCCACAGATGGCTAGTGGCTACCACACCAGGGACATCTGTCTAATAGTTCTTCCCACAGGGGCATCTTTTTGTAAGTCAGCCCCCCAGAGGAATGCCTTTTTCAAATCCCTTTGAAGGCAGCTCTTCGTGCTAGCAGCTGGGGGGCTTCTTTGGGTTCTCCATTCACTGAGCTTGACTGTAAGCTCCTTAAGGTCCCGGAGCCGGTCGGTCTAGAGGGGGAAGCCCAGAGCTCAGCCCAAAGTAAGTATCCATAATGCTGTCGATGGATGCTTCCAGACACAAAGTGCTGTCACTAATCTATTTGACTGTGGCAGGTGCCCTGCAAGAGAGGCATCAACACCCTCATTTTCCAGGACACTAAAGCCAGTAGAGAAACCAGCTTTTCCCAGGGTCACACAGCTTTTCAGCAACAGAGCAGGATTCAAACCTGCTCCTTCCAACTTGGCATCATGTTCCTTCCCCTCTGTCACGATGCTCAGTAATCGTGTGTCTTCCTCACCCATCTGGCTCTGTTTGTGTTTAAAGTCTCATTGTCTCAACAAGAGAGCCAGTTCCCTGAGGGCCGGGCCCACACTGAGCCCACCGTGGGGGCTCCTGTTTGTCCCCTGACATACTTCTTTCCCAGTGAGCGCACTCACGTGTGGTTTCAGGGCTAACATTGTGTTGCTGGAACCCTTTGAAGTACGCTGTTAGTTCATTGTTTCCCCACTGGAGGGCAAACTTTTCCAGTTTTATTTACTTTTCTGATTTCTTCAGAATTACAAGAACCAGCGTAGAAGGGCCTGGGTTGTTTTCTATGTTTTCATTGTTTCAGGGAAATTAGATGGTTTCCATGCATGAGAAGTTGTGTAATATATACATTTCTAGTTCCATATATCCTGATAGCTGCCCTCTGTAGACACTACAAATTCCAGATGCAGCCTTTGTTACGTGGAGAGCGCCCCCTGCCCCGTGGTTTGCAGGTGTGGTGGAGTTTTGTGCGGCAAGAGGGTCCTGGTCTGAGTGGAGGAACCGCTCTCAGGCAGGCCCCACCCGCCCTTCTTCTTTGCAGTGAGGAGAGTTATCAAGGCGATGGGAACTGCATGGTTCAGTGTTCTCAAGCTGGACTCCCTCAGAGTCATGGATTGTGCCAGACCCATGTTGGTGACCTCACAGGTACCTCCCTGGCCCAGAGGGAGTCCCCTGGAGCCCAGGGGAAGTTATGCTCGGCAGCCTTCTAATTAGAGGGTAGAAGTAGCCACGGTTCTGTGCACCATTTAGTGAACTTGGCCCTCTTCCTGGGCTCAAAAGTCTAGACAATGAGAGTTTTGAATGTGGGACAAAAGTGAACCAAGCCCTTTTCTTAAAAAAATATTTATTTACTTATTTATTTTAGAGAGAGCTGTGAGTGGGGGTGGGGAGCAGAGGGAGAGGGAGAATCCACAAGCAGACTCGTCCCGGGACCCTGAGATCATGACCTGAGCTGAAACCAAGAGTCAGCCGCTTAACCAATGGAGCCACCCAGGCGCCCAAAAGTGAACCAAGCCTTTTCGTGCACCCGTCCAACTTGTTCCACATATAAGATTAACATGTCAGCTTATATATGCAAATGTAGCTGCCTGCTGTCATG